ACACACACACACACACACACATATATATATATATATATATATATATATATATATATATATATATATATATATATATATATATAAAATAAGTGGCTTAAAATGATATTGTTTTATCATCGGATATGCTATTGCAGTTTGACGACACTTTTCAAAAAATGACAAAGTATTGTAATATAAACATTAAAGAAGATTATCCAGTTATACAAGGCAGAGATATTTTTTTTACTTTTGCCTATTGCTTGTGTCTTTAACTGGGTTTTAATAGCAATTTTGGCCAATATTTTAGCAACCTATAATTGTCTTCTATTTCTGCATGCTTTTAGCTTTTCCCTCTTCTAAATGTGCTTTTAGAAGAAAATGTCGACTCACCTCTCCGTTGCAATAGCAGTAGATAATGGAAACAAAGAAACCCTGAAAAAAAGAGATATACATCTTTATAAGCAAAAGCACAATTTATTTTACTGTATAATCATAATCAATTATTTCTATTTGAGTACATCAGGAACAGCCTTAATCAATGAAAGATGCCAAGAGCACCTAAGAACAAGCTGCAATCGACTTGCTTTTCATGATAAGAAAAATCCTCCTTGTGATGATCTCTCAGCTCCAACCCTTTATTTGAAATCTGTTGTCCCACTCTTAGATGTTAAAATCAATGTTGGACTTAGGTTTGATTACAATACTTATGTTGTTTTACATTTCTAAATGAGACTTGAACTTGATCTAAGCTTTTATAATCATGGGAGGTTATAAAAGCATGGATGACTAAAAAAGAAACAAACCTTAGCTAGGTCACTCTTTCAGGTCCTCAAGTAGCCCAAAATATGGTTGTTGGTTTTTTTTTTATTTGTACAAAAATCTATTTCTTCAGCGGTCTGTTTCATGAAGCAGGTTTACCAAAAAGAAGTTGTCTAAACCTGAAAACAGGGAAACTCTGACTTTTTCAGTTCACAAAGAGAGTTTCCTCAGCCTCTGTTTCAGTCACCATAGTGATTCTCCCCAGAGCTAACCTGGTCAGCTGCAGGTTTTTCTCAGTAAATTCAGTGCCCTCTGTCTCTGGTCTCCCTCTGCTCTCCTTACAGCCAATCACTTTGTTTTATTTCGTGATTTAGTCCAATTTTTATATATATGATTCACTAGGTCCGTTAGACAAATTTGGTTTTAAAAACAAACATTGCATCTCCATTTGACAAGAATCTTATTAAAGAATAAGTGACACTTTCACACCGAGAATTAAACATTTATAAGGAGAATATTCTACACCTGAGTTGACAGGGACATGAGATTACTTATTTTTGGTTTGTTTAATATGAGCGAGATGCTGATCATTTTATTTCTATTTAGCTATTTACAGTACATTAAGAACTACTGTAATATGCGATCAGAGGAGAGATCCAGCAGTGCATCCTGCAGTTCTGGTGACTGGTGATGTGTAGTGTAGGCAGTGAAAGGTTGGCGTATTCAGTTGTACCTTTTTGCCATATCATGATCCGAGGAATGCTTATTGAAACTTTCAAACTTAAAATTGCTTTTCAATGTTTTCCCCTAACCCAATAGTGTGCTACGGTCTTCAATATGCCAAATAAAAAAACTAAATCTTTTTAAGCATTGCTTTAACAGCTTAGGATCCTGATAAACAGCGTGTAGATTTTTTTGTTTTTCTGTCTTTCAATGTTTTTATGCTGCAACCACAGACCATGATAAGCTATTCATGTGATACAGTAAATCAACACAAACTAGAGTGAAGACAATAAATGATTAATGTTTTATGGTCCTGGTACAGTATGTCTCTACCAGTCTTGTAGACATAGAGACAAAATGTACATATTATTTGTAAAACAGCTCAGTTTCACTAATATCAAACTGAAGCAAAATACAGAGAACATCAACTTTTTAAGTCAATGCTACTGATTCTTTGATTTATATAGGTCGGAACATTAGATCAGGCTATTCTAATAATTACGCTTTGATCTAAACCATTCCATTATAACCCTGACTCTATGATTGTTATCCTGCAGGGAGTTTAAAGTCTTCCTAAGTTTCAAGTTTCTTTTTCCTTTTCTAATAAGTTTCTTTTAAAGGATTCCCATCTTATTAACTCCATCTATGTTGCAGTCATCTATGGCCAGCTTCCCCTTCCCTGCTAGGGAAAATAGCCAAAAAGCTTAAAACAAATTCAGCCTGTCCTCTGGATTTCACACCCAACTGAGGGCCAGACCAAGAGAGCTAAGTCAGAGGTCAAAACTCGGCATCATCTCTGAACCTGATCCCATCAAGTGGTCTGATTATCTGCCTTGGGTTGAACACAACATTACCTCCCTGCCATCAAGTAACACTGGTCTTTCCCCTTTTTATGGTCTTTGGTTTTCAGCTACCAGTGTTCACCATCCAGGAAAGAGAGGCCAATGTTTCATCCACCCGCATAACTTTTTGTGTGGTAGACCTCGGCGCCACGCAATGACGCAATCGGCCTTGAAATCGTGACTTCAGAGGACGCAGCCCATAAATTCGAACACACCCATTATCTTCAGTCTTCTCTAGGGGTACCATCATTTTTGTCCAGGCCTGTTTCATTTCATTTATCATATTTCTTTTTTTCTTTAAGTAACTCTTTTGAAGCATGGTTGAAAAGCAGTGTCTAACATTTTAATTCATTATTACTTTTGTCAGATTCCAGTTATTTCTGTGACCATTTTCGGTTTTCTTTCACTTGGGTACCATTGATTTTGTCAATGTGTGCAAATAGATCCTTTCAAACAACATAAATTAGGCTAAAAGTTCTCAAAGGCCATGATGCAAAGAAATTCCCAATAAGCCACCAAACTATTTGTGCTACCGTTGGTGACAGCAGCCATCACAGTTTGTGTTTTGTAATACCCTGCAATGAGCCTTTTCTATCACCACTAAAACGGCTGACACACTCTTCTTTGCAGAATTGTTTTCATTTTTCACTTCTCCTCTAGGAGGTTTAAGCTAGTTTAAGGTTATATCACAGCATCTCAAAATTAATTATTGTCTGTGCTTTGGCTAGGCTGTTTAAAAATCATAGTTTGTTTTTTAAAATCGTTTTATATGCAGACTTTTTAATGTTCTTTGAATAATTGTTCTGCTAAATAACCCTCATTTATTTTAAGTTGAGAGGTAAAACCAATAGCCAAACAATCTCGGTAACACTACCAGAACCGTGTTTGAGCCCTTGACACCCATTGTTGTAAATATGCAGGTGGGGCCCATGTTCAGCAGTCTTAAGACAAAGGGAGGGGTACCTCCTGGACAGGTAGCCAGCAAAGTAACACAAAGGACAAACAACAACGAACTCACACCTAACAGTCATGCGGAACATAGTAACATGTTTAGAGGGTGTAAAGCAGCAATAACAGCAAATCTTTGACATCCTGTCAGACACTTTTTCTTTGTCATCATAAAACTGATTCAGGGATACATCTAAAATATCTAATGTTATAATACAGCTTCAAATTTGAGGTTACGCACCAACAATTCCCTAAATATTCCTTCTTTTTAAAAACTAAATGAGCTTTCAGGCCGACATCTGAAATGCGAGTGAAGAGATTTTATTTCTGATCTAAAGCAGTGAATGAACTGGATTCATGAAGCATTTTTACAATGTTTTTCCCAGTTATAAGTACTTTTGGTGCAAAGGGCTTTTGTGAATTCTGAGCACTGAGAGCATTTCTCTATCACAAAGATTCTGAGTCACAGCCACTCCAATTCCTACCTAACTGCGTCAAATGCAAAAAATCTACATCTCATATCTGGCTGAGGGATGGTTTTTTATTATAAATAGGAAAGGAAATATAATTTTATACTGTCGGTATTTTGAAAGTAAAACATTTAAATCTCCTGAGGGACAAGTAAATGTTCAGATGGTGAACAAAAATATAGTTTTTACTGTTTTTAATTCATTTAACTTTTAGTGATGTAGTATTTTTTTTATCAGATCTAAAGCCTATTAAACTTTATTCTGCTGACTGGTTTTAATATCGAAACTTAGTGAGGGGTAGTAGTGGTGTCCCTGCAGAGATTAGGGTTTGAGTGAGAATAACAACGTTGGTTAGAACATTTCTGTTGAAATGGAGAGTTTTTTTTGTTTTGTTTTAATGATGTGTGACCCTTTAAAAAAGGCTTTTAGTCAGATATAATAACAAATTTAAGTAAAAAATATTATGCATGCTCATTGAATTTTTTTATATTTCAAAAAGACTGAAAATAAAGACTGCACTGCACACAAAACTGTTCTTTCTACTTTGGGTAACCTTAATTATGAAAGTGAATCAACCTCATTATCTTGGTTCTCCTCTGCATATGAAAGCAAAGTAATAACTCTGACACTGGCAGTCACCCAGAGTAATTTAGGACTTTTTTTTTCATCTTCTTACGGCATGAAATGAAAATTCAAAAGTTTTTAAAAACCAGGAACAACATAGATAATACTTTATGATCTTTGAACATTTCTCTCCAGCTTCTTTCATAAAGATCGACCGTCTTTTCTTTTGTGTAATCTTGCAAACAGTGAAGAATAATCAGTGTCTTTCCTTTGCTCTTTCCACCAGAGCAATGCTTTGTTTGCTTAATATGCAGAAGCCAATTCAAGATTTTTATGAAGTGATACTTCAATAAAGAATATAAAGAGTTTCTGTCATGGTAGAAGGTAGACTAGATGCTGTAGCTGTATTCTCAAGGCATATCGTACATTCAAGCCATGAGTGTCCATCTGCAATGCTGAAAATGTTGTCTAAGTGCTGGACTTTGTGTCCCTGAATAGTATTGTCTGCCTCTATGTTGAAAATAAGTACAGTTAATATGAAAAATATCATTGAACCTTTTAACATTTTGTCACATCACATCAACCACCTTCAATGTATTTAAATTTTTCTGCAGTAGCATAAATTAAAGCATTGCTTAAAAGAAGATAGGAGTAGAAGAAGCTAGCAATAGGAATTATTATTGCAATTTAGAAATTAAAATATGGATACAGAGTTGTGCATTCATATGTATAAAGCCCATGGACTCGATGCTTTTACAAGAACCTTTCACTGTAGACTCAGATTTTTTTTTTCAATGCAAGAGAACCAACTGTGTATCTTTTAATCTAGAATTACAACATTTTATTTGCAGTTGTGGTTATCGGTAATAATCTCATTTTGATTTCTATATAGAAGGAAAGAATTGAAAAGAAGCTGCTTTCATTATGTTTAATCTGTAGAATGGATTGAGTTGTTATTGTTACATTGCAAGATCAATCTGAGAGTGGGATGAGTCATGTGTTAGCAAAATAAGAATCTATTAACTTCTGAATGAGACAGAAATGTATTGTGGAATATTAAGTATTGTAACTGGCAATCTATAGGACCCCTGTTGATTAACCACACAAACATAAAGGGTGTTTGAGGGAACATGATCAGCCTGCAGCCTTCAACCTGCGACTCTGTTGTGTATATAACTGAATATTTTCCACAGTAACAGTGCAGTAAGAGAAGAGATGCAGCAGCAGCCACCCTTCACCTGGGAATACATAAAACGAAACTTGGCACAGAAAATACACAACCTACAGTAGACAGTAACTCCTAAGTGTCAGCGAAGTGAGAAAAAGTGAAGCTTTATTTATCCTTAGATGTCAAGGTAACAGGTAGTCTGCCACTGGGAGATCTCAAAAGATGCAGTAAAGACAATTTTACAAAATAACTAAGCAAATTCAGACGTGGGATGAAGAACAAGCAAGGTTACAAGAGTTGATTTCAGCTTGAACACTTAAATTATGCAATTAAACTCTAACATCAGGAATGGATGCTATGCACAGCTTTATTCTGTGCCCTTTCTTAGCAAAAAAAACCCCCAAAAAGCAAGGGGTTTCAGGGTTTATTTCTGTTTTGCTAATATTACAAAAAATTGGAAGTAAGGAGAAATTACCTGAAAAGAGTTGAAGAAAAGCTCAAAATACATGCGGATCTCCCAGCTCGATCCCTCAAATGTATGAGGCATTCCAACAAAGATGATGTAGTGGATGCCAAAAACTAGTACCAGCACAAGGGTGGACTTTGCCAGTTTTCTGTAGAAACAAATAAACACAATATTTACAACTGAAGCCAGACGTCTATTTGTGTAGTGTTGTTTTCTCAACTCTTCCTGCTGTTCAACAGCTTTAACAAAATCACACTGTAGCTATTTTTTAAATGAAAATGGCAGAGATCATTTTAAATAGCCTCTCAAAGTCAGATCACACCCACTAACTCTGCTTAAAAGTGTATTTATACCATCTGTATTGTTTTGGATATAAAATCTCCCAATAGCTTGCCATAATTGTGGCCTATTCATCTCTACAGAACTCATGACACAGTGTGAGGTTTGCAGGCCTTACTACAGTAGCATACACCTTTCCAGGTCTGCCCACACATTTTCAATTATACTGGTTTTATAATCCTTAGGCAGATACATAATGGTATATAAAATAATGAATATAATACGCACACATACACAAAAATAAAAATATTTATACATATATATATATATATATATAAATAGAGAAATACATATACACATACAAAATGGGAAGAGAGATGCAAAGACTGCAGTAACCTGTGGACTGCTTTGGTCTGCTGCTGTGTTAAAGAAAGTGCTGACCAAGACTGTAAAAAAGTTAATGTTTTTCTTTTAATTTAATTTTTTTTTTTCTTTTGGTACACAAGTGGCCTTTATTTTACTGTCGACTGGCAGGAAATAAAGTTGTGTGTGTGCGTCCTGTTTAGCTAGCTCTGGGAATTGATATCCCACACCTTCCTGATAGCCCAACAGCTTTGCTTTCACAAGCAGACCAGTATGGCTGTTGCCATAAGGTTTTGCCTGATATCAGTAAATTAAACTTTATTGAAAATTTTTTGTGGGAGTAGTATATTGGGAGTAAAATCATATACAATGGACACAGAAATGGAGGTGAGAGAGAAAAGGGGGATAGGTACTAAGGGGAGAGGGAGGTAGAGAAAGGAAAGGGTGCATGGAAAGAAAGTATTTCTTAGAAGTCTGCTTCCATATCTCTATGAGATTAGAGGAACAAACAGTGAACATAAAAGCAAAAAGAAACAGATGGACAACCAAAGTAAACTTAAAATAAAAAAGCTTCAAAAGCAGCAGGTAGAATTTCAATGTGTGTTCGAGTCCGAACCTAAGGTGATTACACAATGTTAATCACAAGGGTATATACAGTGGAGAAAATAAGTATTTGAACACAGTGCTATTTTGCAAGTTCTCCCACTTAGAAATCGTGGAGGCATCTGAAATTGTCATCATAGGTGCATGTCCACTGTGAGAAAAATCGTCTAAAAAAAATCCAGAAAATACAATATACGGTTATATTCATTTGTATGATTTTTTTAGATTGTCTCTCACCGTGGACATGCACCGATAATAAGCATGAGAAGTCACAGGAATTAATTAGAAAAGTTGGGGTATATTTTTAACCCAAACTTACAAGAAATACATGGGTTTCAAACAGAGTCAGAGTCCTCAAACAGGTCATCCACCAAATAAATCAGCCCAATTTACACTACCCCTCTGAAACCAATCCATGCTGGGTTCAGACGGGTCTTGGATCAGTTAACGATGCAGAGCTCAGTTCCTTACGACCATTTACACATCACACTAGCGCGATTCCTCGCCTCCTAGTGATGATCTACGAAACTACTACTCTCTAGAGGGAATCAAGCAACTCACCTGGCGGCGCCCGTAACATTCTGGAAGTTTGGTTATAATTGTGATATTTCGTTGTTTGCAGTGAGTCAGGCGAAGAAGGCCACCTTTGGTGAATTTACTTGACGGCTTTTGGGAAGTGGATACGAGAAACTGTAGTCTAATCAGGTTTTACAGATGCAGGAAACCACAACAGATGTTAAGGTTAATCATACTGCTAAGCAGACTCGTCACTGGAAATTGTGTGGCAAGGTAAGGAAGCTTGTATTTTTATGAAAGTCTGGTATTGTCATGATCTTGGCACAATAGGCTTGGTTTTACTCCTCCTCCTCTTATCTGCTTTGCTCCTCCCAGGCCTAATTATCTCTGATCAGAAACACCTGTTTCTTCTGCTATTTATGCCACCAGTTCCCAGCCCTTGGTGCCAGATTATTCGAGCTTCCAGCGAGTTCAGTGTTAGCGTTTCTCTGTATGTGTTTGTTCTGCCTGATATTGACCTGTTTCTGCCCCAGGACTTCTGAGTTTTGGCCGCCCCTGTTCTGCTCTGTTTTGCCTGTTCTGTTTCTCTGGATCTCACCTGTTGGGACCTTGGACCCGTCTTCTGACCACAGCTTGGATCATCCCTCCTTGATCCCTCCTTTTCTCTGTGTGCTCTGGATGCTGCTCGCTGCTCCTCTTCCCACCTGAATCTCTGCTTCAGGCTCAGTTTCAGGCTGCGGAGCTCAGCTCCTCCAGACTTCACTCCTCCTTCTGAGCTCAGACTGAACTTTGCCAGGTTGGTGACTTTCAGCTCATTATCCTTCCCCGATTGAGCTTCAGAAGTATTTATCTTAGTCCATATCCCTGCCGCCTATCCATTGAACCCACCCCAGCTGATGAGCAGATGCACGCAGCTTTTCAATATACTCCTTTGAAGTTTCACTGTCTGTCTCGTCTGAATTTTGGGTCCAAACCTCTGAGCCTATGACAGATGTTTCATGATTACAGAGGCTGACTGTAAGGAGATGACGCGATCTGCTCATGTGCTCTTTGTTATCTGTGAACCGTGCCAGGACGGAAACACGCCAAGCCCTCCTGATGAACCAGTACCAGTTTAGCGGGGTTTGGTTGTGTCTGGCACGGTCCAGTTTAATTTTGCATGCCATTTACACTCAACAGTTATCTCGGTTACGGTGCATGTACCGATCTTGGCAATTTTTCAAAAAGGTAGTGTAAATGGGGCTATAATTTAACACAAGTAAAACTGTGCCTTGCTTCCTGGATAGTTTTAATGATCAGTTACTTTTGGTTTTGCTGCTTTACTTCTTGTAAGAGACATGTTTAGAATTAAAGACACCAATTTCATTTGGCATGTTTATAAGGTCACTGGATAATCACACCTGATCACCATCATCTGCTCAGATTAATGGGCATACGGTCGACATAAAATGTCTCATCTGCAGCATTCTAAGCACGTCTTCTTTTAGATGATATGTTATAATTATTATGTTTCTATCTGACGTGCTGACGACAGGACCAGCAGGGGAGGAAAATGCAGATAATTGCAGGTGTCAGAATGTCTGTGTGTGTCTTTCAGTGCTGCAAAGCTTATATAATACAAGCTAGTTTTAACTTTCATTTACAAAGTCAGGAACAGAATCACATAAAGCACTTCTGTACATAATAAGTGACATGATCTTCCCTTAGAGTCAAACCCAGAGTGTTGTTAATTCCTTTTTTATTTATATTAAAAGAAACTGATTTAGTTACAGATAAATAAAACCTTTTCTGTTTTTTTCCACAGATGGCCTCATATTTTCCTCAGATATCCTCTGATTCACAGTGGAATTCATGGTGGATTCAAGGATCGTGAGTTGGCAAGGCCCCGCTCGATCAAAGCCTCCTAAAACCATAAAAACAGTGAAACTTGTGCTGCCTCCTAAAAGGCATCACAAGGTTTAGGTTCTAGCTTATAATCTAAAAAGTCCCATTATGACCTTCTGGGTTCTTTTGAGACTTCCTTTAGTTTTCACAATCTACTTTTAAGGTCTATTTCAAGAGCTAAACACTCGATAGGTACTGTACTGAATCCCCTAGTCTTTTAGCAGTTTAGCTATTGTCCAGCTCCTGGGCCGATTTGCAGCAGAGGGTCACTTACATTGGATGCAGTGAACAGGCTGTCTCAGCTCCAGCTGTAGAAACAAGGCTCAAGAGAAAAAAATGTTTATATGCAATTTAGGCCCTATTGTTGGGCAAAACTTGCTATCCACAGCTGAAGATGTGCCTGTATGAATGTTTTTTAGTGATCTGGGTATCTTGCGGGTCTCGCATTGCACCACATTCAGTGTGAGCCCATCGTCACTTCGCTGAAGAATGGGGAAAAAAACAAATTTCATGAGTTTGCAAGGATTAAGTGGGTTTAAAGAACCCCAGGTTGTTCAAGAGGTTAAATCTTCTTTAAAATATATGTGTTCACATCTACTGTTAGCGGAAGGAGGAGTGAATCCTGCTAAATCAATGACTCGATGCAATCAGCTGGTTTTCCTTCGAAAACTTTTACCAATCCGACAGTATGATCTGATTGTGTTGTGCCTGTTAAGTCCTTTGAGGTGACGTGTTATGAATTGGCACTACAGTATATGAAATGAATTTAATTGATATGAATCAATTTGAACCAAAAGTAAATCTGCAGGGTCTGGTCAACACCTACAATATCACAAGGCTACACAGAGATGTATTCAATAGGGCACACATCAAAACATATACCTAAGTATAATTTAATAATGCCAATTAGCCTAACATGCATGTTTTTGGATGAAGTGAAGAAAATGAAGTACCTATTGCACAAGGAAAACATACAAACCTTACATAAAAAAAAAGTCTAGATGGCCGTCAAACTGTCGTTCTTGCTGCAAACAAGTGTCTGGCAAAAGCTATATCTGATAATTCAAATTACCTAGCATTGCATAATGTTTTAAAAAATCTAGAGTTGGAAAACATGTTGAAAAACATTATACCTTGAAAATCTTGCTTTAAATATTCATGAACTAAAGTCTAACTCATTGCTACCATGTCATTTAGTAACTGTTCCACATGATGGAGCAAAGAGATAGATAAAGACTTGCAGAGTCACAATAGTGCACTTTGTTTTTTTTTACTTTATTGAAAAAATAAATGTATTAAAAATATTGACTATACTGTAGAGACTATGTTAAAAAATAGTCAAACCATTTAATGTTAAAACTCCTTAATAAGCATTGAACATATTTTCCCCATCCACACATGAAAGTAAGTAAGTTCATTTTATTTTGCAACTTCACATTATGCAGATTAAGGCAGAAAAGACCAATGGATTTTTGATAGTAAATAGGACCAAAGAAAAGACGAGAAGACATACAGCGGAGGTCCCAAAGTTAAAAGTGAACCCCAGATGAGCTTATTTGTTAGCTTATTTACATCTGTTTAATTCTCTTCTGTTCCCTTAGCTCACATAAATTGTATTTTATTCTGGCCATATCCCCCAAACAGCTGTTTTCATTCACAAATTAATTATGCACAAAAACTAATTAGTCTGAAAGTTTGTCTGGAAGAGATTCCCTAAATATTGTTTGTAACTCCAGCTACTTTAACGTTCTGGGTTTTGTAATTCAGCAACTCTTATATGTATCATCACTTCAGCTGAAAAAAAAAATTGACATAAATAAAATGTGGTCTATAATTACTTGCTTTATTGATTATTTATCACCTGTGTTACCTGCTCCAGAGAAAAGGCTTGAAGGTAAAGAAAGCACAAAGTTGCAACTTTTCCTGTTGCTGTTTTTAGCTGCAAACACTGTTTGCAACAGATGTGAGTAAGAAAGAAGTCAGTCAGTTGCGCTAACTACTGTATTACCAACAATGATCAGAGATTGGTAGTAACCAGTTACACTTACTCATTTATTTGAATAACTTTTACAAAAAATTTATTTTACTATCCTTTTCCTTTCACTAAAAAGTTTGGCAAACACTACCTACCTAAGCACTGTATTTTGAAATCAGGTCACTTAACAGTAAATTGTGGATATTTCCCCTGAAAATTCTTCATCCTTTCCTGACATATAGTTATTGCCTTTTGGTTTTGTTCAAGTTTTATTTTGAGTTTTCATTGGTCTTATTTCGATTCTTGTGTTCTAGGTATTTTTGATTGTATTTGAGTTCTTAGATATTTCCTGTTTGCTCTCTTGTGTCAGTCTCCTTTTCCCTAGCTCCCTTCTTGCCTCTGTTCACACCTGCTCCCAATCTTCTAATTAGCCTGGTCTTTGTTCTCTCTCCCATATAATCTCCTCCTGTTCAGTCACTCTTTGCTTTCATACCTCTGAAAAAAAGCTGGTGACTTAAACAGCATATCATGGAAGCACAACAAATGGATAATAAAAATAGCCCAATATTACAACAAACAACACAGACTTTAAATTATTAGCCAATCTTTTTAGATTTTGGCCAGTTTAATACAAACCTGTACTGTTTCCTGGTATCATATCTCCCTGCGTTTGTCTCTCGGATCTTTGTGGCCAGCACTCGCACAATGTTCACAAACAAAATAAAGTTAAGCTGAAAAAGAAGGAAAAATGGATGTAAATGTGGGAGACATCCAAAATAATACACTGATTTGATTTTTTAAGGAAATTTTCCTAAGAAAGGTGTCATTATGTAAATTATAACAGGATTAAACAAATCTCTTCCACAGGGAAGATTACACACCACAATAACTATCTATAACTACAATCTAATTCGGTACATGAAGAAGCTTCACCTTTAACAAACACTTGTCAGTATAAGGACGTTAATCATACAAGCTGATGAAATGCTTTTTCTACTCCGCCTGCTCATTACAATCAGCGTTATTTTAAGTTTGTGAAAATTAAAGAAAAGAAAATGCAAATTAATTCTTGTAGTTTCTTCAACTAAAGGCTCAGATCTGACTTACAAAGTAGATATAAGTTATGCTGTTGGAGAAAAAAAGTCAAACAAAACATTCTGCCACTGACTAAAAATAAAAACCAGACATACAGTAGTTGCTGAGGGTATACAGTTGTGGTCAGGTTTTACATTTGGTTATTGTTAGATATTGTTTTTTTTTTTTTTTATGAATTATTTGACCCATTCTTTTATTAGTATGAGGCTGCTGGATTGGAATTTTCTTTGATGAGAGATTATTTCAAAATTTGCATATTAAAATAAGCCTGCTCATAGTTACAAATTAATCAGCAACACTGATACTGGCACCTATCTATGGTTTCTCTTGCACACAAAACAAAATGTATGCCATTACTGTATTTTGATTACTGCCTTGTGATTTCTGAAGGTCTTTTTGTTTTATTTTCATGTCTTATGAAACTTTTTATAGTCAGAAAACAATTACCACATTTTTTAAATATGGAGCTAATAATCTGAAGACTAAAACAATTGCTCATAGAACACCTCAATTATTATAGACTACTGTTTTAAGTTTAAATATTTTGTTTAAATATGAATCCTGTGACATCTATTATTATATACCTCAAAAGTGTAATTGCTGTAGGGTTGAGTTTACTTAGTTTTACTGCTCCATAGTGTAAGATATGTTTTGCGATGTTTCTCCCCTATTAAATAAACACTTGACTATCTAAAACTAATTATTTACTGCTCCATAATCACTTTATCAGCTTTAAATTAACTATCCTATAGATTATGTGTCAGGGTTAATTTATTTAGTTTGTGCTGCACGGTGGCACATTTGTTAGCACCTGCTTTGCAACAAGGTCTGGGCTTTTAATCCTTTCTTGGGCAACTCCACATACAGTTTGAATGTTTTCCGAGTTTCCCATCATGTACCTCATAAAGACCATCACTACTTCCTCATATAGTGTTTAGCTACATGAGTAATGTCCTTGTGTCAAGCCTAATGAGTCTTTAAGCTTCACCCATCTGCCATGTCAGCTACTCCAATAATTTGGGTACACCAAACTGCTTAACTATTAATCATTGCTGAAAGAGTGTCTGCAAAGAGCAGCAGCAGATCCATTGCAAAGTAGAAGTTGTTACCATATTATTTCTGTCACATGAATCCTAAGTAGCTCTTCAGTTCATTATGCTGGTGTACATGCGTGATGCATATTGTTTTTTTAAGGTTCAATACTTGTACCAGGATTTCATGTTTTTTAAATATATATATATCTGTGGTAGTGGAATAGAAACAGACATCACATTACACATCCTATAGCAACAGATGTGTAAGGTCATGCTTAAAACATTTAAGTAAAATCACACATTTTCAGAGCATGTCAGCGTAGCTGTTTTTATCTTCAAGATGAGGCACTTAAGAAGCCAATACCTTCTTTTTACCATTCTCTCACAAAAGAAGTACTCCTGGATCAATGCTTGTGTGTTATTCGTGTATTTTCTGTCTTATCAAACCCCCCAGTCAGTTGTGGCAGATGGCCGCTAACATTGACCCAGGTTGTTTCTTCCTGTAGAGTTTCCCTCTCTGCTGTCACAACTTTTCATGCTGGCTCAATGTGAGATATTGCTGCAAAGTCAATACTACAATGCAAACAACTGTCCACTCGCTCCACAGGGAATCAATGCTGCAAGTCAATTGCTTGTTACAATATGCTAGATTCCCTTAGATATGGAATGAAATTAGTATCAAATATAATTTAATGCTGTATATAAATGTATTTATTCCAAAAACTAACTATTCACAACATCTGCATTTCATGTAATCATTTCAGTGAGATATATTGATGCAAAAATAAAAATGAATTCAAAATACCTGACTTTTATAAAATGTAAGATTCTTATGTAACAATTTTTGCACAAAAATACTAAATTCCAAATTTATTATTTCTAAGTTGTGTGCAACTTAGTGTATGTGAGAATTGAATTCTGCATTTGTGATTCACTGAAGAAGCAAAGGTAGTTTTGAAACTCTTGTTCTGCATCTTTCCCGGAAGCATTTTCCCGGAAGAAGGGCATAGAGCAAGAGACTGACGAAATGCAGATCAGTTAAAGAATGATGGCATTGCCACCATAGACATTATATACATAAAGGCCTCATTACGTACTGGAGCAAACACGGGTAAGAAGTGCAACAAAGTGCAACAAAATTTTTCCAGGCAAATGTGTGCGTGTTTGCAAAAAATGAAAAAAAAAAAAGTAGAATATTGTAAATGTGGGGAAATGGCTCAGGATTGTGAGAGAGGGGGAAATAATAATGTAAAAGAACAGTCCAACGTATTTCTTTAATATATATATATANATGAGTAATGTCCTTGTGTCAAGCCTAATGAGTCTTTAAGCTTCACCCATCTGCCATGTCAGCTACTCCAATAATTTGGGTACACCAAACTGCTTAACTATTAATCATTGCTGAAAGAGTGTCTGCAAAGAGCAGCAGCAGATGCACTGCAAAGTAGAAGTTGTTACCATATTATTTCTGTCACATGAATCCTAAGTAGCTCTTCAGTTCATTATGCTGGTGTACATGCGTGTTGCATATTGTGTTTTTAAGGTTCAATACTTGTACCAGGATTTCATGTTTTTAAATATATATATCTGTGGTAGTGGAATAGAAACAGACATCACATTACACATCCTATAGCAACAGATGTGTAAGGTCATGCTTAAAACATTTACCGGTAAGTAAAATCACACATTTTCAGAGCATGTCAGCGTAGCTGTTTTTATCTTCAAGATGAGGCACTTAAGAAGCCAATACCTTCTTTTTACCATTCTCTCACAAAAGAAGTACTCCTGGATCAATGCTTGTGTGTTATTCGTGTATTTTCTGTCTTATCAAACCCCCCAGTCAGTTGTGGCAGATGGCCGCTAACATTGACCCAGGTTGTTTCTTCCTGTAGAGTTTCCCTCTCTGCTGTCACAACTTTTCATGCTGGCTCAATGTGAGATATTGCTGCAAAGTCAATACTACAATGCAAACAACTGTCCACTCGCTCCACAGGGAATCAATGCTGCAAGTCAATTGCTTGTTACAATATGCTAGATTCCCTTAGATATGGAATGAAATTAGTATCAAATATAATTTAATGCTGTATATAAATGTATTTATTCCAAAAACTAACTATTCACAACATCTGCATTTCATGTAATCATTTCAGTGAGATATATTGATGCAAAAATAAAAATGAATTCAAAATACCTGACTTTTATAAAATGTAAGATTCTTATGTAACAATTTTTGCACAAAAATACTAAATTCCAAATTTATTATTTCTAAGTTGTGTGCAACTTAGTGTATGTGAGAATTGAATTCTGCATTTGTGATTCACTGAAGAAGCAAAGGTAGTTTTGAAACTCTTGTTCTGCATCTTTCCCGGAAGCATTTTCCCGGAAGAAGGGCATAGAGCAAGAGACTGACGAAATGCAGATCAGTTAAAGAATGATGGCATTGCCACCATAGACATTATATACATAAAGGCCTCATTACGTACTGGAGCAAACACGGGTAAGAAGTGCAACAAAGTGCAACAAAATTTTTCCAGGCAAATGTGTGCGTGTTTGCAAAAAATGAAAAAAAAAAAAGTAGAATATTGTAAATGTGGGGAAATGGCTCAGGATTGTGAGAGAGGGGGAAATAATAATGTAAAAGAACAGTCCAACGTATTTCTTTAATATATATATATATAAACTATAGAGTATATATATACTGTTCATTCCGTAATGTCTTACAAACCTCTGATTACTACACAAAGTTATCCCTCAAGCCGTTATAAGTTAACAACCTATTCTGGCCAAGGAAGACAGATGGTTTGAGAGGGTTTAAGGAAACCATCTTTGTTAACCTGGAAACACCATCTCTAAACAGAGGAGGTGGTCTTAGATATAACATGTCAAATACTTACAAAGCACTTTTAGGAACAATACACAGAAGATTCAACTCCCACCCACCCCCACCTGACTCACACTTCAATGAGGCACATGACCGAAAGCACTCTGACGAGGGAGTTAACAGCCCATCAGAACCCCCTAACGGCCATTAACATCCCCAAGGTCACCTCCATGGCCAATCAAGTCATAGGGATCAAAGCCATCTTTTATTTTTCCCCTAGTTTTTGTTACTCCTACAGTATATTAATCTCAGTGCTCCCCATCATCCGTTAGAACTGACGAAGCTTCTTGAATAAGAGGCTAAACTTCTTCTAGAAAACTTCATGTCCAGTTGCCTAAACTCACTAAATAAATCTCACTGAAATCATTACATGAAATTCAGATGAAGGTAAAGTCTTTTGAATAAAGGCTTATTTTATACTAATTTCACTCCGTAGAAAATCTAAACTTTTTGAATTACTGAACAGCATTTTCCTGTAACTAATATCAGTTGTTAATAAAACCTTTTTTGACCTAATATGTCTGTATTATTCGATAGAATTTACTTGTGAAAAGGTGTAATATAAATTAAAAACGATCCAAAATCTTTCTAAAAGAACAACAGACTTAAACTTTAAGTGAGGGGTATGTGAGTTTTTGTGGTAAAAAAACAGATGCCTTTCTGATCCTATCTCATAAAGTAAGGCACAAGTTGTTGTTTAAAAAAGATCAAACACTATACA